GGGTAGTATTGGGTCATAGTCACGGCAATTCGGTGATGTTTTCGGCACCAAATCGCATATTTCCCGATAAAATATGACAGATGGAAGTAAATAACGTCTACAAAGGTGATATTTCACAGTAATAAAGAAGTATTTGGTTCATAACTGGATCGTATGGGGTAGTATTGGGTAGTATTGGGTGGTATTGGATAGTATTGGGTGGTATTGGGTAATTAGACGCGCCCCTTTGAACAGTCGATAGCCTTAGCACATTATTTTGGATTTCTTACTTCTTTGTTCCCAAGGTTTCCCCACCAATCTTTAGTTTCAGCTTAATGGCAGGTTTTGCCAATCCCCCTGGAGCTCCCAGAGCAAAGGGATCAAGGTCATGGTCCCTTCTCTTCTTGTGCTTCTTTTTATGTTTCTTATGTTTCTTGTGGGAACTGCTAGGGGAGTCCACTATAAACAACAACAAAACATAGAGCATACAGCATGCTCCTGAATGTACATACAACCTATAGCTTTGTGTCTACGCATATATGATATATAAAACACAGTCAAAATACAAATACAATCTGGAGAATTGTTGCCATATTGATCTATATATGTAAATATATATACCACCCGTGTACTTATATTAGTTCACCAAATTACACCCTAATCAGACAGAGCAAGACACGAATATGATACAGTTCTTTTTGATATTAGAAATTTAGGCTAAGCTCATGCCTTACTGTGTCGTGCTACACGGTGCCCTGTGAAGAAACATTAAAAAACGATTAATTCAACCCCCCCCCCCGCCTAATTTGTAACTGCATGAAACTTCTTTAGCGTACACGTATTAGCACAGGTAGTTTTGATACCCGGTTAATGAGTGTAATTACCTGAAAGTAACTCTTCCTCTGTTCCAGAACCTTTACGTTTTCCCATTATGTTAACAACAGGAAAAACGTGTCTTCATAAAATGTAAACAATCACATTTTCTATAAAGATCTAATTATGTTACTGTTCTAAAGGTGATCCTCGTGCCTTATCCGAACCAATAGCTGTAATAGGGAGTTATTTCCCTTCCTCCAGTGTCTCTGACTACGCTCTTATTATACATACCCAACTCCCCATTACCGGTTCAAATTATCACTGAGTTACACAAACGGCATTATTGTCGATCAGGGGCGTAGCTAGGCCCATTGATATGTGTAAGAATAGGCGAGGGGTCTGGGGGCCGCCCAGACCCCCAGTGAGTACAGAACGGTGCTCAGGGGGGCGAAGCCGCCCGACGGAAAATTACTTTTAAGATTTGACGAAGCATTCAAATTATTATCCGACACAGTTATTTAAAGACATATTTCAGTGTCAAATACGCTGAAATGAAGAACATCACATAACTTATAATAATATCTTTTATTTATCCAGGGATACATATTTAAACATGTCTAATTTACAATATGGGCCTGCATCAATATATTTACAGATATCACAGAAAAATACACATACACTACATGAAAGACATTTGCAGATTAAAATACATGTATATTAAACACAAATACAATACTTATTTAAAAAGTATATCGTTATATCATAAAGTAAGTACCAAACTAACGTTTTGAGGAGAAATCCTGTGGGTATTTGCGTTTAAAAGCAGCAACATCACACGCATTTCTAATATTTACATTCAATCCATTCAATAAAACAGAACATGTGTACACAAATGAACGTTTGAAATAATTAGTTCTGGCAGTGGGAATATAAACTTGTTGGAAACTGATGACCTTGTATTTCTAAAACTGATATCATTGACATAGGTAAACATATTACTTAAAACACTTGGAGTATCCCCATGTAAAATTTTGTAAGCCAGAACTGCTTTCCTAAAAATAAAATAATCTTCTATTGGCAGCCACTTTAACTGTTTAAAAAGCAAAATAGAAGGGTTAAAAACGTCTCTTATATTTAACAAAACTCTAGCTGCCCTTTTCTGAAGTTTTGAGATTTTATGAATATATGGTTTGTTACTAGCCTCACACTAGACTACAGAACAATAGATAAAATGTAGGAAAACTATACTTTGATAAACTTTACTGAGAACATCATTAGACATGAAAGGTCGTTACCTTTTCAGAACACCAATCTTTTTCGAAATTTTCTTTGATATGTAATCAATGTGGTCTTTCCAAGACAGACAACAGTCGACAAAAACACCAAGGAGTTTTGCACAGTGAACAGTTTCAATAATTAAGTTATCAATAGTAATGTTCAACTCACGACATTTAGATAACATTTGAGACGATCCCCCCCCCCAATCAACATGCACTGAGTTATGTTCGCTATTATGTTTATTTTACACTACACGTTGCCCAGCCACCTTTTAATTTACAGCTAGTAATGTCTAGATAAAAGACACTTTCCTTTTGTGTTATGAAAGTCTGTACTACGTTGTCCGTATTTATAGAAATTTCCCTGTGGACATGTAGCATTGCTAGCGAGGAAAGACGGTCTTGGTTTGTCTTGGTACTATTCAGTAAAAAATATAAAGTGAAACCGACCTCTGCTAAACTATATAGTCATATATATAGAATCAATTAATTTTCTAATCATGATATTAGACATTGCTTATCAGATTCCTTTTCAGTACGTTAATAAAAGCAGCTCAGAAAATCAAATGAATTAGCCCCCCATCCCCCAAAAACAGAAGGAAAAAGTACATAGTGATGGTTGGTTATCATGTTTATCTCATTCGAGTTAGTTAATTTTCAAATTGTTAAAGACCTCGAACAGTAATGTTGGTTAAAGAATGAAAAATGAGTGTGAAAATTAATATTGTAATTATTCTGTTATGCTGAAAATGTTTCCCAAAAAAATATATAAAAAAAGTGTCGACAAAGATGTAAATTAGAAATCAGTATGGAAAATTCCAATACTATTTCTAATATTTCAGTAGAGTGATCTATCAACATTTTGATTCCATCTCCGTCAATCACCCCCCACATTCATATACCACTATAAAAAGGTGCTTCCACATGTTTCTACCCCATTTAGTTCATCAACATGGCAGAGAAATACTTTTTTGGACATGGACTATATGCCCAATTATCATCCTACAAGGACGAGACCTACGTCCACATCGATGGCCGTAATGGACGGAGCGCGAGTGTGACAGGTGCCGAGTTCCTGAGTGTAATATTAATACTGTAATAATATTATTGTAGGATTGTACTGTAAGATGGATGCAACAGTGCCTGCTATACCAGTGTGAACGCACGGTATGGGTGAATGTAATGCTATGTAGTATACAATCGTAATAGTATTGTAAAATGAATGTAATAATGTATATCACAGTGTATGATGAGTGTCATTGTATGCGCAGTGCGTTATATTGTCTATTATAACAAGGTATGATAGTACGTATGAACAGTGTAATAGTGTGCTTATCATTGTATGAGAAGTGTAATTGTTTCCACTATATTATTGTACGCTAGCATAGTAAGATGAGTGCTTTACGGTCAACCATATCATTGTTATATTGTACTTTATGATGACCTCTTCTTGCGCACAACAGTGTGCCTGAGTGATAATACAAATCTCTGAAAATCTCTGAACCTGTCACAAAACTATGACCTCCTCATGGAGGGAATTAACCGGCTGAGGCGGGTAAGTGTGAAAGTTCTAAACATATTTATATTACAACATGTATCAAACTGGTTATACGAGATGAAAAGCGTTTAACACTTCCAAATCCTGCTGTTTATACTTTATTGTATAATGATCAGTAAATGTTGATATTATATGTGTTATGTTTTAGGAATCGTGCTCGCCAAAAACACCCACAGCAACACCAGGCCTACCTCCGATATCAAAAACCCCCACAGCAACACCAGGCCTACCTCCGATAGCAAAAACACCCACAGCAACACCAGGCCTACCTCCTATATCAAAAACACCCACAGCAACACCAGGCCTGCCTCCGATATCAAAAACACCCACAGCAACACCAGGCCTGCCTCCGATATCAAAAACACCCACAGCAACTCCAGGCCTACCTCCGATATCAAAAACACCCACAGCAAAACCAGGCCTACCTCCAATATCAAAAACACCTACAGCAACACCAGGCCTACCTCCAATATCAAAAACACCTACAGCAACACCAGGCCTACCTCCAATATCAAAAACACCTACAGCAACACCAGGCCTACCTCCAATATCAAAAACACCCACAGCAAAACCAGGCCTACCTCCAATATCAAAAACACCCACAGCAACCCCAGGCCTACCTCCCATATCAAAAACACCCACAGCAACACCAGGCCTCCCTCCAATATCAAAAACACCCACACCAACACCAGGCCTACCTCCGATATCAAAAACACCCACAGCAAAACCAGGCCTACCTCCAATATCAAAAACACCCACAGCAAAACCAGGCCTACCTCCAATATCAAAAACACCTACAGCAACACCAGGCCTACCTCCAATATCAAAAACACCCACAGCAACACCAGGCCTACCTCCAATATAAAAAATTATGAGTAATGCTTTGTGTTGCTTTTCTACTGCAGATACTCTTCATTTCTAACAATTGATATTCAAATGAAAAATGAAAATTATGCTTATTTGACTTTAATACTCTTCATAGACTCCAGACATGGTATTACCACCAGTTCCAGTACGTCAAATTCTGGCACCAGCACCGGCTAACGTGGCGAGTACATGCTATTTTCACTGTTTGATTATATAATAGTTAGCTACAGGTTAAGTACTAAATATCAGATTCCTATACTCCAATGTTCACGTGAGCGTCAAACACTTTTACTAACACATTGTATGGCCGCGCAATCCTATAAACAAATATTGTTTCACTGTCCTCTGTAAGTATTATTCATATTGACCATATTTCGATTTTATATGTATACACCAAACATGATTGAGAAAATACTAATCAAGCGCTTAATCATTTCCAGTCTGACGAGCCACAAATGAAAACAGAGGTGACTTCCCCTCAAAATCAAGCAGCTTGGTAAGTTTCAATACACCATGAATACGTTTTACCTACTATTTCTATAGATTTCGAGGTCTCCAGAAGGTGAGTGTAGTATTTAAGTTCAGCTGTACTCTAATCGTTTTCCCGCACATATTTTAACAAAATATCAAAAAGCGTTTCATCCGTTACTGAATAATTTTCTCACGAAGAATATTCATTTTTATTTCAGCTGACCGTCGACTTTCAGGATATTGAAGTCAATGAGGACGTCATGAAGGTCCTCCTCGCCTCTATTGACTTGTAGGTTATAATTATTTGATTTCTTAATTTGAGTTTTATTGGGGAAAAAATAGATGAAAAATCAATATGTAGTAGTAATATATCCCAGGGTTTTAACATCACACAACTGCCATACTCTTTGTGCATGGCCACAATCCTCTTGTGAAATGTCTTCTTTGGATAAATCACCATAGAAAGATGATTTTGGGGATAACCGAACGTCAGAAAACTTGGAGTCGTCCGTCAAGTACTGGTAATGATAAATCTCCTTCCTGAGCAAGATTTCCCTGTGTTCCGGTCGAGTAAACCCTTCCTAAAATATTTGAAATTGTCGTGTCCTTTTTCTTAGAGATTGGTCACCAATGTATCCAGTGAACTGGGCATAAAACGGCACGAGTCCAAAAAGCGTAAATTCCCGAGTGAAAAGGAGATGTAGTTTTTCATGTTTTGTGCTATGCATGTGATATTTTGCTCTTTGTATTTTCTTATTGCATCCCAGAGTATGTGTCCATCGAACCGCGACATGTTGTGATAAAACACTGGAATGTGTTTTGGGTGTTTAACATTCAAATTACATTTGTTGCAGGCAGCTCCCCGGAACACCCCCCCCCCCCCCCCCCCCCCCCGTCACGTGGTAATGGTCCTTTAGCTTGTCTTTGTTGTTTTTAAAGTACTTGTTGCATAGATAACATTTGTTCGTATTGTCAAAAGTCTCCTGATCTTCTTGGGTCATGGCCATGGGTTCCATGTCACTCAAAGTTTGCTGGATTTCTCTTTCTTCTTCAATGAGATAATTAATAAACGTTTCTACCACGTTAGGTCCACGTTGACTCATAGTGGTAGATACATGTGTACGTCTTCACCCTTGAGGATATGACTGGTACTTTTTATCTGTGTGTGGACTTTAATCTATCAAGAGATATCCGTATTTTGCTGCAGTGGCCGTTTCGTAAGCTTTTGTGAAATATTGAGCTTTGGTAGGAAATATCTGTCTCCCTAAGATATAGACTTGCTGCTTATCTCTCTTGATTTTGAAAAAAACCGATATAATGACTATTCAGAGAAATCGTACGCATGCACTTGCCTTTAGAAAATGCATTTTGTGTCAAAAAGATGACGGTGGTATTGTGATGATGACAGCCGACCGTAAATAAATGTTGTACGTCGACACTATTGCACACCGTTTCCATCAAATCATCTAAAATTAGTAACAATGGTAACCCGTCCCACCACCATTCTTCTAAATTTTCTTTTGTAGTTATCCCTTCGTGAAAGGTTAAGTTTTTATGATCCGTGTGGTAAAGGATATTGTATTAAATAGGTACAGAGTGTCGAATTAAACTGTATGGGTGGTGATGTTTCGATCTTTACACAGTCTGATGTCACGTAATGATGTTTACTCGTAGATATATACATAGGCTGGTAACGGTGATAGATAGCAACACAATAACTCCTGTTAGCTTTAGTATCGTAAAATGGATCTTGTATTTGTCAGATATACTGTCGTAACTGCTGGATAAACATGTAGTGAGCATGATGCTTTCTGTTTCACAATCCTTCTGATCCATGTTTTCGGTAACAGTGACATTCGAAGACTGAATCAGTTACTAGTATTCATCGCCATATGAAGCCGACAGTATAACGACCTGTTCCAATAGTACTAATCTGTTACAAAATTATTTAAATGCTTTTGGCCCCCTACGCGGTAAAATGTCTAATAATTTTCTTGCTCTGTCGAATCGGTTGTTTTCTACGATGATACCTTACACCATGTACTTGGGTAGAATATTGGATTTGAATAAATGATCTGTAACATATAATGTCGGTAGACGTTCTACGAGCAACACTCGGTTCTTTCTTAAAACGGATTTGTGCACACTGTCCATCATAAATCGATGTTCTCCTGTCTGTAATTTTCAAACTAACCCATGTGTCGATATGAACAAAAAGTTCTAACAGTTTTGATTTAAGACGGGTGAATTCAAACGTTGGAAATAAACTGGACATTTAATAATTCTCTTATCTCTGACAAGGGTCTTCAAATAGTTCGGGAAATGTTTAGCACGCTTTTTTTTTGCCAGGGAGAGCACCCGGTGACCTCACGGGTTTCAGAGAAATAAACCGGGCATTTAATAATCCTCTTACCCACACATTTAAATCGACACCTGAAACGTTGTCATACGTTTTGGGTTTTGATCTAATGGTACGGTAATTTGATAATTTTTATTGTATTTGATGGTCAGTGTGTTTGTGATTCAGATCCGGTACATATTTGTTGTGTAGTTTTCGACATCATAATACGAGCCAGGGAAAATATTCTACAAAAGTTTATATATATACCTTTTCCATATTAACACAGAAATATTAGCCATTGTTTTTTCTTATAACTTTTTTCATATTTGGTTTATTTTCACAAACATTAACGACACAATACCAGCACAAACACACACGTACCTACATACAAATGTACCTACCTGTGCATCTAATAAAGGGATGTATACCACGATACTTTTGATAACATTTACTAAGAAATGTTTTTAGACACTTATTCATCTCATTTATTTTCACAGACACAAACATAGAAACATAAAAACATATGAATGCATACATCTATTAAAGTGATATATAGAAGAATACTTTTACAGCATTTAAATAAGTTTCGAACATTTTATGTATATACCAGTTTCATATTTACTAATTTTTTCTTCTTCATTTTCATAGACATACACAGCACAATGCTAACATACCGACCCATTAAACATAGTTAAACTACCACACACGTACCTATAACATACGTCTAATAAAGTGAGGTATACCACAATACTTTGATAACATTGAAATTAGTTTTGTCATTTCTAACAGAGATAAAATATTCTACAACAGTTTTTATATGTACCTGTTCAATCTTTACAAAGAAATTTTAGACATCGATATACAAACACACACGTACCTACATACAAATGTACATACATGTTAATTTTAGAAAGTGATAAAAAGGACAATATGTTAATAGCATTGAAATAAGTTTTATCATTTTTAACAGAGATGAAAATATTCTACAACAGTTTATATATATACCTGTTCATTATCTACTATTGGTGGAGGACACAAGGAGGCGGAAAATCCGCCGGGATTGTCGAACGGTGTTTATGAAGCGAATACCGTTGAAGTAGATATTCTAGAGCTCGGTTCACACACGTGATAGACGTTAACTTTTGATCGTGAAGCGTGTGATGAACGTCGACATTTTTTCACTGGATGCACGTGATTGACGTCAAGGTTTTTTACTCGATGCACGTCACTGACCTTATTTTTTTCTCGATGCACTTGACTGACAATTATCTTTTTACTCGATGCACGTGGTGGACGTTGATTATTTTACTCGATGCACGTGACTGACGTAAACTATTTTTACTCGATGCACGTGGTTGACGTTAATTCTTTTTCTAGATGCACGGGGTTGACGTAAAAATTTTGACTGAATTCACGTTATTGACGTTAAATTTTAAGTTGTAAGTGCGATCTCTCCGTACATAGAAAAAAAGTATTGGAATCTATGTAAAGGTCTGAGATCTGAAGTCAACGTAGTTGCATGACGTTAAATATTTTGAATTGATTCACTTGATTGACGCCAAGTTTTTGATTCGATGCACTTGATTGGCGTTTAATTTTCATCATTACATGTATGTGGTACCGTTCGTGATGCCAGGTTTTCGGTCAGATGTTAAACGCTGGGTGTAGTTATTTTGTATTAGATGTACGAAAACGATGTCAAATTTGATCTCGTTGAACGTGTTTGATGTATCGCCGGTGTAAATAAAACCAAAATGAATCGCAACTCCTCTCGTCTCTTTCAATCAATCAGACCTCGCTTCTTAACCGAGCGTATGATTTATAGCACTACTTGGCAAACTAACTAATGTTGTATAAACGAAAACTGGTGCCCACCCATCCCCTGCACGTGGTCCTAACATGGGAACGCTTCAGACTTCCACTCCATAACCATGTATGCAATTGGTGAGTATGAAGAGATGAATATACAAAGCTAGCAGGATTTGCCCTAAGGGCCTGACACATTCTTGATAACTTTATCCCTCGGTCGTCACATTGAAACTGTCGAAATCGACACCCTTTAACCATATACACATTTAAAGATTTGGAACCGAGGATCGTCCCGATTTCAGATGACTAAATGCCACGATCATAACTATAACAAGGTCGAGATCCCTACCCGAAAACGATATAAACAATTGTTGAAT